ACTCCGAGCAGACTTTCTGTCCGCGAAACCTGGACCCTAACGGGACCAGGAATAGTCGATAACGAGTCCACGATGACTGTCCGTCGCAATGCTGGTCTTGAATCCAACGATGCTGACGGAGGGATCGGCGTCATAGGCGAAGGTGTCGTGCGCGGAGAATTGCAGCCGCTCTTGCACGCCGCGGAAGGCGTCGGCGAGCTCGGGCTGGAATTCGCGCAGCTCGTCAAGCGGCGTGCGCAGCGATAGAAGCTGGGTCCAAATGAGCGCTCTACCAGCCTCAAGCCATGCATGCGACAGCTCCGAGTCTTCTCACCTTACACCCACCATGAGCCCCCAATCGTATAAGCTACCAGCCTCAAATCGACCTCTCGTGTCTCTGAGAAACGGAGGCCACTCCCTAGACTCGCCACAGCCTGATCCACGACCATCATTGCCAAGGCCGATATACCTAGCGCTCTCGAAGGCTTTTCCGCTGAGCCTGACGGATATTCCGCTGGGCGTCGAAAAAGCGCACGTGCCCAAGCGAGTCTGACGTTGACCGAATGAATATCCCAGAGCGTTAACGCCGTCGCCCGTAAGGACGCGTCGGCACGGCATGTACTGGTATCTATGCGCGGACATTGTGCCGCTCTCTCTTTTGCTTTACCGGGCGTATTGTGAAGTCTTTTGCGATCCACGTCGACGGCAGAGAAGGTCTTAACTCCTCGTATTCTGTTATGCATGTACTGTTCAGCTAGGGAGGAATGAGGTACTATAAAGGACCCTGCCCAGTGCCGCCGCCCCCGCCGTTGTCCAAACACGTCTACCTCTTCTTCACCGTCCGACCTCCTCCCAACGATACCAGTACGATGAAGAAGCCTCTGCGCGCATTGATTCGCGACCAACGCGAGAAGGTCCCGCCCGTCGCCAAAGCGGACCTCAGCAACAAGGTCGTCATAGTCATCGGCGCCAACATCGGCCTGGGATTCGAAGCGACGAAGCATTTCGCGCGGATGAGACCCGCCCGGCTTATCCTTGCCTGTCGCAGCGAGGAGAAGGGGAGAGTCGCTATCAAAGGTGCGTGAAGATGCTTCACGTCTGTACGTGCGCTGCTGATCCATGCAATGTACAGAGCTCAAGAAGGAGACTGGCTATCATGGTTCCGAACTACGCCTTGTCGACCTTTCTAGCTTCAGATCGGTTCAGGCGTTTGCGGATGGTATCGAGCGTGATGCCCTCGCGATCGATGTTGTAGTCTACAACGCTGGCGTTGTGATGAAGAAGCACCAGGTGACTGCTGACGGTTGGGAGCAGACGTACGTTTCCGTCCTTCACTCTGGAAAACACGGTCCAGTACTGAAGCACCACCAGAATCCAAGTCAATGTCCTATCGGCACTGCTCCTTCCAGTCCTCCTCATCCCCGCCGCACAACGTGCCGCCGCGGCGCACCCCGGATCGAAGCCCCGCCTCGTCATAGTCGGCAGCGACGTCCACTTCTGGGCCGAGATGCCCGAGAAAGTCATCCACAGCCCAAGCGGAAAGGTTCTCGCCGAGCTCAACAAGCCTGAGAACTGGCTCAGAGCGATGACGCGCCAGCCGCGTTACTATCAGTCCAAACGTCAGTGACCTTTCCTCGTCTGTCGCTTGAGAACGCGTGCTGATACGCGGGTTCGTATGCACCAGTTCTCATCCTCCTTCTCATCCGCGAACTCGCAAAGCATCTGGAGCGTACACCAATCGTAGCAGTCGTCGTCAACCCCGGCTACTGCGTGTCCGCCTTACGCCGCAACCTCCCCGCCGGCGCTCAGTTCGGCGCCCGTGTCATGGAGATCATCATAGGACGCAGTACCGAGGAGGGATCTCGTATGCTCGTATGGGCAGGAGTTGGCAATGAGGGGCGCGAGGACGAGCTTCGAGGAACGTATGTCAACCTGTGCAGGGTTGAGGAGCCAAGCGACTTTGTGATCTCTGAAGTTGGGCAGGACGTTCAGACGCAATTGTGGGTGCGTGATACGAGCTTTGCATGCACCATCTCGTTCTCTAATGAGACGCTCTTCTGCAGGCCGAGTCGGTGGAAATACTCTCCGCTGTGTTACCTGCGTTCAAGCAGGCGTTGTCGCAAATCTCAGCTTAGCGGAGGCTCGGAGTCAAGGTCAAATCAGGATCCCATGTAGTTTCAGTACCGTATTTTGTGAATCATGACCATGCTTGCCACATCATATGTGCATACGCACTCAAATGTGAACATACAGTAATATGCTCCGTGCAAGCTTCGCGGCGCTTGTTGTCGCCCAGCCACTGTGTCCGCGCCGGCCCCGGCTTGATCGGCGCGGCGCGGTGCACAACGGCGAAGCGACCCGCGAGATCAGGCAGAGCTTGTGTGAGAAACATCGAAAGCTCGCGTGACCGCGTCCGACGCGTCGACGTCGGACGGCGCGCTGCGCGCGCTCGCGCTTCTTCCCCAACCGTCACCAGCACATGCAATCGCGATGCCTCGCGTAGATCATCCGAATACGTGCATCGCCTTTTGCGGTGCTGCTGCCAACGGGCGTTAGCTCGTCGCCGATCGTGTCCGTACGCTCTTCCCCACTGCATCGCTCATGGCTCTTGTTGACGATTCGCATCGACAGGCTTCCCTTCTTGACCGCTGACACGTAGTGTCCAGCTCGCAGCGCTACTGCAAACGATCGCTTTTCACACTCCCAGATGTCCATGCATAGTTTAGGCCCCAGCTCTACCGCTGATACACCAGGCAACGACGCCAGCGGCGCCCGGCGTTTGCCGCGGATTTGTTGCATCCGCGGCATTCTCCGGATTTGATGGGAGCATTGCTCCCGCGGCATCGCCGGCCCGGTCCTCATCACTCTCGTCCCCTGGAGACTGGCCCTATGGCCGTCTGTACTATACCTAGCACAGCGCGGCATCGCTACCCTGTATATGCATCTTTTGAGATGAATATATATCTTCGTCGCTTTTACTATTGTGTGAGACTATTACCACCGATCATTCTCGTCCGAATCCGGTCGTTGGAAAGGTCAGGGCAGCTGCGTCGGCTGCCCTCTCTGTGTCGGTGGCGCGCAAGCGTTCTCCACCCCGATCCGACGCCCTCGGTCGCGTCTTCAGGCTCGTCACGAACGAGAAGTCTCGCTTCGTTGACAGGGGTGCCATGAAATAAGGTCACCGTCCGCTTCCTGAACATGTGGGCGACTCGCAGGCGTCGCGAACGCGCTCCGACGCCGCGTACCAGGCCTCGCTAGGCCAGCCCGAGGCGGCGACGCTGAGGCTGTTCTCTGATCACAAATATGCGTCGTATTTGTCTATACGATCGTTATAGTCTGGACTTGATTGAGATAGAAACTTGTCTTGGATGTATGCGGTACACGGAATAATGGTATCGGTAGTTAATGAGTGGGTATACGTGATGGAGAAGCACGGCACTAGGTAGTGACAATGCGAATGAGCCGTGTTGTACGGGTTTAGAGGCCGACGCCGAAGCTCGAAGCCATGTTGGTGTTACCACCAAGAATGCCACCAAAAGACTCAACACCGGAAGCGCCCGCGCCCGCACCAGTGTCTACCCCAGCATCGCCAGCGAGAAGCGAAGCAACGCCGCCGCCCTACAAAATGTAGGCGTCCTCGTCGCCACCACCACCGTGTCCCTCGCCCTCAACACCAAAAATCAACGCGTCGATTCCACCAGTAAGGTTGTAGAGGTCCGGAGAGCGCGCCTCGACTTCAGAGGCATCGCGCTTCAGGATGTATTCATCTTCGCCGGCCTCTCCGCCGTAGCCCTCGGCCCCGAAGAGTAGCGCGCCAATACCGCCCGTCGTATCGTACAGGTCGCGCGTCGACACCGCGTTGATGGTGCTACCGAGACTGAGGCCGGCCTCAGCGAGCGGCGCAGCGTGTTGAATGCCCATGTTCGAGCCCAGGAGGGAGCCAACGCCGGCGGTGGCGGTGGCGGGAAGCTGGCGCTTGAGGATGTACGCGTCTTCGTCCCCCTCTCCTGCTTCTCCCTCGGGATAGCCGAAGAGGAGCGCGCCGACACCACCAGTCAGATCGTACAGATCGTGCTTCGGTATAGAGTTGAGAGGGACGGCATTGTCGAGTCCGAGGCATTGGCCGAGCGCGGCGCTCATGTTGATATCGAGTCGAGATCCAACCTTGAGGTTCTCGATTTGGCGCTTGAGGATGTAGGCGTCCTCGTCACTGTCTCCGCCGTAACCCGTAGGGTATCCGAAGAGAAGAGCGCCAAGGCCGCCAGTCAGGTCGTACACGTCCGGCGAGCGAGCGTCGACGTTGGATCCCGAGCTATTGTGAGCCGTGGTCAGAGGTCATTGAGGTGGTCAGGATACAGGCAACTTACCCAGCGGGAGCGGCGCTAACTGCGATGCCGAGTGCGAGGCAGACGAAGATGTGGAGGCGAGTGGCGGAGAACATGTAGATATGGGTTGGAAAGAAGGGTATGAAGAAGTCGAAGTGTGTAGATAGAGAAGATGGATTGGTGAGGGATAGTTGCTCTGCGGGCCCATATTTGTGTGCGGATCCTCATGAGGTGACCACTGTATCTCCTTTCTAGCCAGAGGGTCAGTATATGCAGTCTCGGAAAGGAGTTGACGGATCACAGCGTACCGAGACACGCAGACCAAGGGCATCCTCATCTCCTAATTGCTCTCTCCGAACGGGATTGAAGCCTGACTGAACGTGTCGCCCGGCAGGCGACGGCGACAAGCTAGGGCGGGACTGGGTACTTCGCGGCATCTGTGGCCGTGGTACTACCGATACTGGTCGGACCTTCAAGTCGAGCGTGGCCTGCAAGCGATCGTCAGCGTGAGTTGATCAGGAAGCTATCCGATGTGCCCCGTACCATGTTGGTCTCGCTACTCGGGACCTCTGCGAGCTACTCCGGTAGGCACATGTAGAGGATGCATGCTTATTCGTGCGGGCCTTCGCGAGTGAGGGTGCGCGAAGTATTCCCGCTACGTTAGTAGTGGGTCTTGGTTCCACGAAAGCAACATCGCTTTTGGCTGGCGTTTGAGTGTGCCTGCAAATTGTGCCTGATGTCGTTAGGCCGTCGGGCGCTCCGGCGGCTTCTAAGG